GAACCCGCCAACTTCAAAATTGTAGATGTCAACTAAAAGAAATCATAATTTAAAACCATAAATAAAATAATGAAACAAAGAAAATTACAACGGTGGTAGGTAGGAGAGATTATGAACCATGTTTCTAACCGTGGGCCATTGACAATGTTGTTAACTTACAAAATTAAAACAATGTTTCTAACAAACAAATGAAATAAAGCGATATGAGATTCAATGCTTCTAAAGCAGTAAATCATGGTATACCAAAACCAAGCCAAATCATGCCCACCTAAAGAAGAACCACACTCATTATTAACTCAAGTCAAACAAAAAGGAACCTAAAAGAGAGATATTTGAGTGGATCAATATAGGATTCACATTAGAAGGGGCAATTACCATACCTCATCAGGAACTCTAAGATACTTGAATGTTTTCCCATAGATCTGCATTTGCACATTCTCCAAAACCTATGTAAATCATACATTGAGTATACCAATCAGACTCTATTATGTTTTTGAAAAGAAACCAACAGTTGATGTAAATAACAGACACTTGGCAAGGAAAATGTACCCAAACTTGCATTTGCAAGGCGATTATGAAAAAAGAGAATCACACAAATTGAAAATAGCCACGAAGCATTGTGTTTTGATAGATCAAGTATTTATTAGGCATTTCATTGAACAGTTTGTAAGTAGCTGATTTATTATGTAGATGGTATTGGTAATAATATTATTAGAAAAAGAACAATATTATTACCACTACTGCCTCACGTCCACATTACACGTATAATTTTAACTATCTTAATTCTTGTGTCACGTGTAAAGGTGGTAAACAATCTGATCCATTTGGGCTTGGTTTAAATTTGACTTGTTTTAAACTTGACTTGAGCTCATTCAATTAGAAAATGAGTCGAGTTCGAACAATTTTTTAAGTTCGTTTAAAAAATATGTACTATAAGTTCGGTTCATTTTGGACTCAAGCTCACAAGATTTAGCTCGTTTGTATATAAAATAGTTGAGCTACTTGGACTTGGTTCAAGTTTGACTCGTTTTGAGCTCAATTAAATCTCGTATATTTAAAAAACAAACTAAGCTTTAACATTTTTTTAAACTCATTTTGAAAATTAGCTTGTTAGGCTCCGGCTTGAAGTCGTTCGTTCGACTTGTTTGCCACCCCAAATCCCATGGTGTATACTTTAGGTTTTTCGTTAAAATTAATGACAAATTTAAACATCAGGGTCATATTGAGCTCATTACATTGTATAATTGGAGGATTAAATTAATATAAAAACTAATTTAAAAGTTTAATTGACATAAATGACATAATTTAGTGGTGGTGTGTATAATTAACTCCAAAATAATTTTTAAATTAGTTAAAAGAAAGTATTTTTTTTGGGTAAACAGGGTAATGGAGTTAATGATTACCTTTTTTTTTTATTTAAATACAATCATAACACAATAGTACATTGGATCAACATATCTCCAATTTAAATTTTGTCAATTATTAATCAAGTTTCTTCCATCGTTAAGTTTATAAAATCCCATTGACAGATTTTTATATAGATAATGCCTAAACTTGATACCCCAAATTCATAACACGTCATCTCATTTGACCTATCTATAAATTGATGGGTCGGATAACGTATATGTTTACGCTGGTTATTCACAGGTTGAGAACTGATGATGCTTGAATGTGCTCAACCCAAGTCTAGAATAACGTTTAACAAGATGGGAATGGATGATGAAGTTGGATCAAAGACAATATGTAAGTGGTTTATCCTAACTGAAAGACTAGGGTTACGTCCACTATAATGAAGGCTCTTACTCTGTATGGTTTGTATTACCTGGAGAAGAAGAAGGTTGCAACATGTTTCTTAACTTAGAGCCGGTGTGAACAATGTCTTGTGAGTACATGTTTTTTTCATATCTCCCTCTATGGTGTGTGTGCGTTACATATCTATACTACTTATAAAAATATCTTAATATGAAAAAATTTTAATTTTCTATATTATCCTTACATATATTTCTATATCTAAACATACCTCAATCTCTTATCTTATTTGACTTAAATAATGACAATTTAATACGTCAATGGTATATATTGCTCTATAAGAAAATTAATAGACACATTTATTCAAGTATCATCTCTTTGTCTTCTCTAAATGATGGAAGTATAATTGCAACTATAATTTAAGGTAATAAAAAACATGATAAATAATATGTCATTACAAATCAAAGTTATGGAAGCTAAAAGACTTTAGTGCAAGTGAAGGGACACAAAAAGTCATAAAAAGTCCAAAATGTTTAATGAATTGCAAAGGGTATATGTCAAGTATAAATTCATCCTACCCTCAATACATAAAGTCACTCCAATTATGCAAATTATAAGCAGACCAAGTATAATAGATCTCTAAACCAAATAACTTAAGACTCGACTGGTTAATGTACAACACTCGAGGAAGTTTTAGTTTTTTTTTTTTTTTTTTTTGGGGGGGGGGGGGCCGCACTCATACAGTCGAGCCCATCGATGTTGGCTGCATGACATATATGACAGCAAAGGTGGCACCAACGACAGGGACAATAACAACTGTTATTCCTTTAGTGGGTGTGACAGAAATTAGCAAGTATGTCTTTAGCATAAGAAATTGATACGTTTGCCATAAGAGATAAAATAAAAATACCATGAGTATAGGTACATGTAGGGCTAGCATTATTTTGAAACTTAGACAAACTCATGTCCAAATGACCTAAAATATGGCTCATACATAATTAACCATTTCAATAAATAGGTTGAAAAAGGATGGACTTGGTTTGGGTTAATCCAACAAGATGTGCACCTCATGTGGAGATTCGATTCGACAATAAAATTTTCATTTTAAATTTGAAATACCATAAATAAAAAATTGAAAAACATTGTCATGGTATTGAAATCAATTAAAATATTGAGGACTTGATTGTTCTAATTGGAATTTCAAGAACGAAGTTGAAACATGAATCATACTTGAAGAGTATAAATGTTAAACCGCTCAAACAAAACTTATACTTTAACTTAGGTCACATGCAACGTACGTGTGCATCAACTAGTATATACAAGTAGTTATCTAGGGTTTTCTGAGATCTTCTTCTCCCCTCCTTTTTGTCTTGTAGTGGTGACCGTTACCCTGATACAAATCGTATCCACGGTCCTTCAATAGAAAGTGCACAAATATTCCTTTTACTAGTGAATACGCGTTTGTTAGAGGCACGTGATGTGATGGAGGGTGAGCAGGATCTGGAGAATACCTAGCTTCTTGCTCCCGAGTTGCTTACTGTTGAGCTTGNACGCTCCAGAAGCTATCCCCTTGTCCCCCAAACACGTGACGTGATGGAGGGTGAGCAGGATCTGGAGAATACCTAGCTCCTTGCTCCCGAGTTGCTTACTGTTGAGCTTGTCATCACATAGCAGGATTGCGTTGATCTGGGCTTTGTTGGACTCTCTTATTTGGATTACGGCCCATTCCTATTACGGAGTAGATGGATTGCGGAAGGGTCACTTGGGCTGTCATGTAACCATTGGGCCCATTGAATGCTTTGGATTTTTGATGTGAAGCCCATGCCAAAATCCTATCATTATCGGGAACTATCTCACCCACCTATTCTTTATTTGCACATAATTCGTAAGTGGTAATTTCTGACACGATATGAAAACATAATTTAAAATCAACATGAAATTAGAAGGTTAAGGGATTGATTATTTTCAACATGAATTCATAAATGACATGATCTTTAAACCCTAATAATAAATGAGTCAAATTAATGTCAAATAAAAATAATATGAAATTGACATGATTAACACGTTCAACTAGTATTATAGAAATAAAATACCAAAATTTTGTTATTTTTATCTTTATTGAAGTAATTCTTATACAAAAAGAGATGTGTCACTTATTTTTATTATTATATTTATTAAGTTAATTTTTAGTTTATAAAAATAGTATGAACATGAATTCGATTAAATAATAATGAAATCTTAAATTTTAATCTTAGAGTCAGATTTTTTTATTCATGAATTATATGAATTAACACAAATATGACACAAAAATAAGCAGGTCAGATCAACAAAACATGATTAGTTAAATGGGGGTGGATTAAGGTTGATTAATGTTCGACACACACTCATAAATAACACAACACAATTCAATTGAAACCCTTAATAATTCCTCCATTAATAGTGTGTTTAAATTTGCAATGAGAATTAAATAATTTTCTTTTCTTTTCTTTTTTGATCGATAAGTCAATCAATTTCACGACCACCATGTTTGTAGTTTATTTGAGTTTTTTTCGATATTTAATAATATAATGATGATATTACGGTATCAATAACACGTAATATTATTAATTAATAATAATACGTAATGTAGAATAAATAAACTCCACTGTTTCAATTGTACTTCTGATCTTACAAAAATTTTATCGTCAACGATTCAAACCCCTTTTTCCCTCCCCCAAAACAAAAAAAAAAAACAATCGTCCCAACTTGTTAGTTATTTAACATGATAATTATTAAAAACAACTAAAATAATGAGATTCATTATACACATAGTATACCATCATATTATCATTATTTAATACTACTACGCGTCACTGATGACACAATATCACGTTAAAGTTGAATACTATCTCGTTCCAAAAAATACTCATTTTATCAGATTGAGTTGTTGTTCAGCTAATTATCTTGTTCATTTGTCGTAAAACCACGGGAAACAAATAGAAGCTGTGTTGACTGGGCACCTATTTCCTAGTACAACATATTTGACCTTGACCTGACACGTGGATGCTGCATCAGACCTGTATAGCAGTAAACTAATTGAAAAAATAAAAAATAAATGCTAAATAAACTTTTTAAAAAATTGATTTGACAAATCACTCTCGTTGAACAGATAGTATATTTTAATAAATACTAGAACCCATAATTAAATCAATAATAAATATAATTATCACGCCATCAAGTCAAGTTTTTAAGTCTGTATAACATTGCTAAAAAAATAATCACCCATCATGTAATCACGAATAATACAATTTTGAATATAAGTGGACCCTGTACTCGCAATTTCAAAATTTATAATAAACATATGAGAGAATTGTAATTTACCTGAGGTGCATGGTCTGTAGATAATTGCATACATCCTAAGTTTGCTCCTCNATAATAAACATATGAGAGAATTGTAATTTACCTGAGGTGCATGGTCTGTAGATAATTGCATACATCCTAAGTTTGCTCCTCCAAACAAAACCCAAGGTTCTTGGGCATATAAAGTGCAAAGGAAGGCTTCTTATTTTGGAAAACAGTGCAGGAAATGAAAGAACAGAGCAAGCAGATGCCAAATGTATCAACCTAAATCATTATTCCATGTAATAAAGGCCGAGTATAATCTACACTGAGATGAAAAATGCTGGCTCTATTGCACCCCACTCAATTTGGCCCAATCTACAAACTGCATTCCACCATAAATATTGTTGGCAAATCGTACACCGAAAGTGAAAGCCAATGACACAGACGGGATCTGCTTCACCAAAGGTGATGCTTCAACCAGGCGTTCCAGTCCATTTACAATTTGATAACGGGTGTTGGAAGACACCGCAAGAAAAACACCTATTAAAAGTGAAATCAATGAGAAGAATTAAGTTCAGATAAATAAGAAGACAAGATTAATCAGAAGGATGGCAGGTAAGCGGGTCACTGACAGGCCCCACTTCAGTTTTTCAGCTGAAGGTTGTTTGAGATTCTTGAGTAAAATAAGACAATCATTGGGTTTATCTAACTGTAATGGTCTAAATTTAAACAAACAAATAACACAGATAGGTTAATGAAGGCACCAAGAAACTATTTAGAGTTAAAAACTTAAAACAATAATAAAAGAACC